CAGTCTCTGATGATGAACTCCAGTTCGAGTTCGAAAGCTAAGGCCAATAAATCTACCGCCCAGTGATCGTGCTTTCGTCTTCTTTTAAAGAAAGGAACATCGACAAAGACGAGGGAGACTGGATTAACTATTTCTGCCTTAGTAGACATCGTTGGTTAATCTTACCCGACTTCATACTGCGCTTGCTATACACGTGCCGGTCTATCAAAACTGTAAAAAGCACACTCGATCGGGACATATTTAGGAGGATAGGAAGGGGATTCCGCTTAGGCTTGCTTCAACAACGCAACCCGTCCTAAGCTCCTACGAACAACCGTGGCAACGAAGTATCTCCGGATCATCTGGACAGGATCTAAACTCAAGATACTGACAACCCACAAATGGAAGTTGATTTTCGTCCACTGGGCCTAAAATTAACAAGAAAAAGAAGACGAAAACTATGGGGAGAAAAAATCTGTTAGCAAGGTTCCCAACTGCTCAATTACATGATGAGTGTTACAAACTTGCGTATGTCATTCCATACTGGTGATTCAGAACTAGTTACGACGTTACTGGGTAGTAACAAATCTCCTAGAGACGCAGGCATGTCCGTGTTAAGGAATACTAGCTCAAGATATCGACCCTTGAGCCCAACAAGGAGAGTTACGCTGCTGGGCAGTAGAACGACAGAACGACCCGCAGCTCGAAACGACTGGAAACGGCTGGCAGCAAACGTTATCTTCAAGTCCAGTCGAGTGTGGGTTTTAATGTGTTAAATCCTCCTTCAGAAAGCGCCCAGCAAGGCCTTAGAACCACTCGCTCTTGCCATTCTTGTCAGCATAAAATTCACCTCGGGGTTTTACAGAAGTTCTCCAAGGTTGGCTTCATACCCAGAGACTTCAAGAACTCCGCTGACCATGCGCCACACAGAGACAATTGGGTCGAACACAGGAATATGGACCCCCATATAACAGATGCCTTTGCGTTAAATTCCAGAGGGTGCTATTCCTGCATCCCAAGTTTAATCCTAACCCCAAGTCTCTTAGCCTTAACTCTAGGCCTAGCACTAATCGTCATAAACTTGACTCTTATCCTTGTTCTCCTATTTCTAACCCCCTGGAATTTAGGGGGAGATCTATATTCCTTTATCCAACCTGTGCATAGACTTGTCGCAACCAAATTCGGTCTCATATGCAACCTTAACTAACTTCGTCTCGAGGTTAAACTTAATTTAATTTGCAAAATTGTCGTCAGTTGTTCTTTGAAGAGGGCAATTCGTGGCGAAATAAGTTACAAGTGGGTCGTAAATTAGTAAAAATTCGAGGACATCTACTCGGGAACATAGAGATTTATCGAATTTTTGGCCGTCAAAAATCCGCGCGCGCCGTGCATGTTATTGTGCGTGTGAAAAAAAACCGGTTACATTGGAAACTGGTTGACTGAAGAGTTCGTTGTTTGGGACTTTCTGTATGACGGATTTTCAGTTAAAGATGGCGTTTAAATCTATGCAATCAACGGATTTTTCTACCGCCAGCAGAAAATACCCAATGAAGTAATACGTAACTAAAAATTAGCTCTTGCTCGAGTCGGACCAGATGTTCGTCTTATTTTGGTCTAGAATTTTCTACCAACCCCGAGGCAGGGTTGAACGCTCTGATATGGACTTATTGATTTTACTAAAATGGATAGACGAGCAGGTGAACCTATTACTTTAGGGCGCCATTCACACGCGCATGGACTAAAATATTCCTCACACAAACGCCCCCAACAGTTCGACCGTCGATTACGACTATGTATACTGTATGCTCTACAGCAGGACAGACGCAGGGACGGTAAATGGCGCGTGGTTAACTTTACAGTGGTAACAGACTTGCACCACGTTTATCGCACTCCCCCGCCCTCCCTACCAAAAGAGGGTCAACAAGACCGGAGGCGAAATCGGGCTCACTTGGCTAACAGAGCGTGAACATGCGCCTAGGCGCGCCACCGCACACCCCGATCCACGCGCAAAGGACCAGGATTTTACACAACAGGAAAGGGTGCAACGGGCTGGATGCAAACTACACGAGAGCGCCAGAGCGACCACATTAAGAGGGAGCCAATGCAACCTGAATCTCCGCCCTGCGGGGAGGACCGAGTTATAGCTTCGGCTGACAGCACGCCAAGCCGCAGCTTTTAGCGCGCCAAGACATACCCAAGGCGTGTCAGATTGTTTATAGTGAGAAAAACGCGCTAAGATCGTCGATCTTACTGTCTCTTCCCTCTCCCGTACGCCAGCCGTCTTTCTGGGCTGGTTTGTCGAAAGTTGTGTGGTCCACAAGACAAAGATTCCCAATCATAAGTCAGGGAAGACGGAATGAGCTGTACAACCTTTACTGTTTTGGAAGTGCGTACACAAGGCCTCTGTAGGCAGTCGCCGCGAGCGCGCTCCCCAGGCAAGTTGTTGTTGTCTGTGTCCGCCCTCGAGGTGCTGAGACGCAGCGCGTGTGTGCGCCATTCGTTGTCTCCGCGTCGCCAGCCAATCAAAGGGGGACAGCTTTGATTGGCCTGGGGCACTCGCGAGGTTAGTGACAAGCCTCGCGCGTCCCAGCAGCATATCGGCAAGGAGTGTGAGGCGGACAGGAAGGCATCGTGACAAAGGCGGAGGGCAAGGAGACGCGAACTGCCACAGGTAACCCAAATGATACTGAGATTGGACGCAGTGGTCGACAGAACTAAAAACAGCCCGTCTGCGCAGGCCACATACATGACCAGGTTCCTCTCACACACAATACATCAGAGTTTCAAAAAGAGGTAGATTGCCTGGATCACGCATGTGTTATAGTAGTGGAGGGACCAGATGGAGAAAGGACGAACAGCACTATCCCCAGGTCTTCGAGAGGTGCCGATTTCGTGCTTTTTATGAACTAGGGAGAGGATATGTAGTGAAGGGGTTTGACTGGCGGTGTTTTACCGCTGATTTTCATGGATGTTCCTGTAGCCGAATAGGTTCGTATGATGACTGAATGTGCGTTGGTAGTGTGGCCAGCTGAGGCGTAAATTGGTGCTAAACACACTGGTTCATCTGTCCCTTTGTGATAGATTCGATTGTGACCGACAAGGCCAATACTTGACATTCATCCGTGGTGGCAGTGTGGGCAGAATAAATTAGGATCTGCTGGGTCTATGTAGTGGTTTTGTTGCTGGTTGTGGTTGCGCTGTGGATGGGAGTTGGAAGTGCTGAAGATGGAAGAGTTGTTAGGTGTGTAGGGTGTGCTTGGTGTGTTGATGCTGCGGTGGTTTTACTGACCAGAATTCACTGCAATGCCCACTAGTAAACCCACTTAGCATAACTTAAGCATTCCGTAGGGTCATCGCTAAAAAAAATCGTAGACAAATGCGGTGCCTGAAGAAATTACTGATGTTTTCGGCGTTAACTAATTGATGTTTGACTTAACAGGGCATCAAAGACCCACTTTCCATTATTGGATCGAGCGCTGTACAGGGGGTGCTAATGCGCGAGCCGTAATTCGAACCACAGTCTTGAGGTTAGAAGATGATTAGGATGTCGAAGAACTAGCATGACAGTAAAGCCTTTTAAGTAAGTGTGACCATGTGCACTTCAGTGGATGTTAAGGCGATATAGCGTAGGTGTTATCAATTGGGTCAATTGGAACGTTCATCTATTCGGCCACAAAAACGGCCGTAGTTAGAAAGTTAAATTAGTCAAATCGAAACGCTAGAGTGAACTCGACATTTACGGTCAGATGCATTTACGCAAATTTACGCTGGCAGTGGATGAGGGACCGGTATAAAGCCGGTTTTTTGGTGAATAGCCACGCAGGAGGTCATTGAAAAGTCATAATTGCTGAATAACTGTCACTTATGTATAACAATGTCTAACTTAGGCCCTATCGAGATTTTTCGTTAAAATCGAGTCTTACAAATCCTATAAATCATACCACGAAGAAAAAGTCGAATATTGGAACCTCAAAACGCTGTGTTTTAGTCGTGACGAGTGTATAGCGTCTGTACATAACTGCGTTTGTGGCTGACAGGGTGGTTGTTGTCGAAATGCAGTACTTGAATCTTACTAGTCGCATTCCTGAACACTAGTTTTGAGTCCACCAAAATCCTTGTGGAGACGAGGATATCAAGCGAGGTTATCTGATTCTTTTCCTCCTCCTTTGTCGTTATTTGTGTGTCCACGAAAATGACATCGAGATATTCTCTGAATGCCTTCACCTTATCTGGTTCGTTGCGGATGACAGTGTCATTCACATACCGAATCCAGACTTTCGGTCTAGAGTGTCGGAAGACCTGCAAATCCAACTGATGTATGACGGCCTCAGCCGTGAGTTCCAGAATCGGTGAGCCCACTGGCGCGCCTTCCACCTGCTCGTAGACTGTTCCGTTGAACATGAAATAAGTCTTGTGATGGAACTTCATGAGGTAAATGATTTGGGCGTGTCCGAGGCGTTTCTCCATTTCAGCATATTTGTTTTACAGGAGTAATTCAGAGGTTTCGATTACTAGATCCTTGGGAATTAAGACTAAAAGTGGCCGTGACATCAAAAGGTACCAAAACGTCGTTTAGCAGGAGACTTACTTTCTTAAATTTGTCTAAGAATTGTGTAGACGAGCTGGCTGTGGTATCCAAATCAGCGGTCAGAAATATAGGACGCATAAACAGTCGCTTCGCCAGTCCGTAATTCAAAGCCTTTTGATAGGTCGGAGAAGAGCATTCCCTTTGTGCACTTTTGGGGAAACCATATAATTAGACGAATATCGTTTCTTGCGCCCTTGCAATGCGTCGGCCGACTTCGCATTGATATCGTGTGTCAGCGTTCTTGCGGGACTGGATTGGCATGCCACGTAAAACTGCTAATCCTGCAACATGCACTTGGCCCTTCAAGTGGAGTCCGTTCTGTCCAATACGATGGTAGACGACCCTTGCCCACAGGTACGATAGCGAGGTCTTTGTTGACTCCGAGTGCCGTTAGTGTATCGCGTTAGACCTTGAGAAGCACTTCACGCGACTGATGGACCATGAGGAGGAGCGACGCTTGGTGTCGGACAGGGTTCTTCGTTTTGTCGAGTTTGACAGTGCCGCAATTATCACAAATACTGACAGCCGAATGGGTCACGAGCTTCTTCAGACCCTGAATACAAATAGCTCAAAGGATGGTTTGTAGAAATGAATGCATATGACTTGATAGCAAGGTATGCGTCGCAAGCAGCGAAATTTTGATTCATATGTAATACTCGAGATACCTGACGGCTTAGTCTCGTCTGGATTGAAGTCCTTAGAAGGTGATTGATGCTGTTTGTCTATTGAGGTCACGGTAGACATATTCATATCGACTCGTCCTTGCATGTGGGTCTTGAACGTTTGATCACACAGGTTTCAACAGACAATATCAGAACTGAACTGTCAACAACAGAACGTTTATTAAACGGGGAGTTGGGAGAGGGATGCATCGTGCTTTTGGGCCAAGGAGTAAAGGGGGGAAGTTAATGGAGTGGGGAAACCAGAAGATGCGCGCAGGCCTTCCTTCGATTTATCCTTCCTCCAGTCTGGGTGTCGATACGTGTGGTTCCATAGTTTGCCCGTCCGCTTGGTGCTCAGTCACCGTAGTTTCAAAGAAGGCGGAATATCGCTCAGGGGAGCGTTAGCAAAGAACTTAAAACAAACCTATCTAAAAAATATCTGTCCTTTACACGTGGTTCGTCGGCCCACGGTCGATAAACAAGCGCCCTGATCTCGCGCCCCCATATTCTGTGCTGAAGCTCCGCCTGGGCAGAGTAATTAGCCGCACGTGGATGGTGTAGGCGGCCAACAGTTCTAGTGACAGCGAGCCAAATAGCAGAGTGATTCTCACGCCAAGAATCAACAAGGGTGATGAAATTACCGAAATTGTAAACTCAGGCGCCGACTAATAAACCCTTATTGCATCAGGTACAAGCCCCAGTGATGAATGAGGGCGCGGTTAATTATAGTAGGCATGTTGTGGCATGACAATCGCGTCTTACAAATACTATATTCATTGTGCCTCAATCTCTCTTATGTGAGAATATCTCTGATGATGGATCCAAGGCGGAATCCAAAGCGTCAAACCAATAAATTTCTTGTTCTAGCCATCACATCTTCTTCTGAACGAGAATTATTATATGCATAGGCGGCTTGTATGCTGTTGGGTACGTTATTTCGGGCCATGAGCCATGCTGGTAGCGACTCCTACGGTCGTTGTGGGCTTATTAGGCAGCCGGGAGAAATCAGTCTTTCAAATGAAATAATAGACTCTGACTCCACACACCGTGGTTCATTACACCTATGAAAAGAACATATAACAGAAGCAGAGGTTGGGAATGCAATATGTTAAGCTTCAGACTCAAGATATCGTTGACTTTTCTAACTGACCGAAAGGTCAAGGTCAGGAGACCGAAAGGTCAAGGTCAAGCCGCTGGTTTTAAATTTGAAGATAAGTGAAGGATATTATTTTAAGTGGTTTTTCTGTGAGACCTAACGATTTTAGTACCTGTTTTTTGGTTAAAATTCCTTAACTACAGGTCTCTTCTCTAAGAACTGCCTGCTGCCATCTCCTTTCGAGTTCTGCTAGTCTATGCCCGTTGTTCACTAATCGCACTCTGCAATTCTCATTTTGTGCATCCGATTTCTCTCTAACTGTTGTAATTTATTTTTACATCGTTACCCCCTAGCTGTAATTCAGTCAGCTTGTCTGCCAGAAGTTTTCTTAATCACAAATTGCCTCGAGACAAGATGAGACCAAAAGTCACTGGTCGACGTAAGCTCTCGGCTCTTGTAAGTAAACATGGCCTAACTAAACGTAAGTCAGAAGCTTTACCTAAATCTAAGTCAGATGATATTACTAGTCAGTCGTCACCCGTTGTAATTAGTCGGCAGCTTGGTCTGTCTGCACTTGACCACTGCAATGACTTTATGCTAAAGTTTGGCATTTTGCTGACAATTCTTGGACATTTATTCGACGGGAACATCTCCGATATTCCCTCTGAAGAATGTAGGCATCTCGACTCACTTGTTCACCTGATCGCCAGTGAATATAGTGATAGACAGAAGCGTTCTTACAACGTCCTGTTAAAAAATGTTCCTCGATCTGCTCGGCCAATTGATGTTGCAACCAGTTTCCTGTATTCATGTGGTTTCAACTATAAAATAGCTGATGCCAAACGCTTGTCCTCCCGTAGCAAAAATCCACCCATCTTAGTCAAATTGTTTTCATCAATCGAGGTTGACACAATCTTTACTCATCGAGAGCGTGTCACTGCGTACCTAGAGAAGGCAAAATTTTTCCTTTGTCATGATCTTACTCCTATGCAGCGTAGAATCGGGTCTCTATTCTCACGTAAACCTACTGCTTCTCAGTCTAATGCTCCCCAACTCGGTCATAATACAAGTGGCCGTAAGGATTCAGCTTCTCCTACTCCTGCAACATCTGACTCCCTCCTTCCTCTTTCTCCTACATCTCCATCTCACTCAAGCCACTTGACGCATTTGCCTGCCCCTAAACTTGCAGCAGCAGCAGCAACCCCATTTGTCGTTTCGTATCCTCCGGATAGTCCCGCTGAGACACATGAAAATCCTTCTACATCAGCTAGACCGATAACTTCTATTGTCCAACTGGGTGCTGTAAGGTCTACAGCTAAGTCACCAGTGGCTTGGCGTCAGAACGGTGAGACTCGAAAATTGAATCAGACTCCGACCCAAAAGATAGGTAGTACAGTTCCGTTTAGGGGTGCGACGCCTTCTCTTAGATCTAACAAGTCTGTTCAGCCCAGCACGTCCACAAACCCCGCAGCTCCAATTATATCCCCGAATAATTCTCTGTCCTGCGTACCGGTTACTTATCAAAGCCCTACTATACATCCAGCAAATAATTCATACATGAATTGCCCTAAATCATTTATGCCCCAACCTAGTTCAGGCTTCCCACCACTTAAGGCCAATTGCTCTCAGGTACGTCAACCTATCTCCTTTGACTTCCAATCTAGACCTGGTTTCCCACCATTTCATTCTTTTAGTGGCCTACCCTCACCCATTAGCCCCTACTTTCCTTCTAGCCTCCCTCCTCCTCCCCTTCCTCCATTATTTAACTACCAACAAGTCTATCCATGTTCTAACTCCCCTAGCATTCCAATGTTTGAAAACTATATCCCCACCTCCTTTCGGTCTCATACTCAGCCTTCTCTTGCTGACTCCTCGTACGTCAATAACTCTAAATTGACTGGTACTTATTCTCCATGTGTCATTAATTCACAGCTTACATATCCGCCTCCAATTTTTTTTTAAAATACCGTCGAAAATAGCATTGCCGTTCGAAACACATTAGATATTATATTATTGAATGCCAGGTCTGTTATAAACAAGATAGCCCAAATCAGAGCCATTGCTCTGGAAATGACGCCTGATATTATATGTGTAACAGAATCTTGGACCCATTCTCTAATTCCTGACTCTGCCCTTCTCATAGATGACTTCGATTTTTACCGACACGACCGCACGACTAGGCGTGGGGGTGGTTGTCTTCTTTATCTTAAATCCTACCTAAAGCACTCTATCTATTACTTGGATGTTTCCTCATTCACGGGAAACTTCTGCTTTGCATCTGTTATTCTCTCGCCGCAAAGAAAGACAATTATTGGCTGTATCTACAATCCCCCAAATTCTTTAGCCAGTGACGATTCACAACCCTGTGAAATCTTTAAATTGATTTCGGAAGCTGCTTTCGATGTTAAAATAATCACTGGGGATTTTAACCTCCTTGAAATAGACTGGGTTTCCAATAGCTGCCCACCCAGATTTCAGCCCTTTCAAGATATTGTCAATTTTTTTAATTGGTCCCAACTGGTGCGCTCTCCAACAAGAGATAATCACATTTCAGATCTAATCTTTACCAATGACATTGCTCCTCTTTCGGTTGCTTTAAAAAAGGACCTCTTTGACAGTGACCACGTATTAATTCATTGTTGCCTATCGCTTGCCTTTTCAAAAAAGACAAGCACCGTTCAGACTTTCATGAACTACGACTGCGTAGATAGCGACTTAATAAATAACTATATTAGATCCTTGGATTGGCGTGGCTTCCTCACTTGTAGCGATGTAACCATTCTTCGTGATGTCATGTCCAATGTTTCCAAGGACATTCTAGAGTTTGTGCCGCGTAGATATCTCAAGCCTAATTTTTCAGATTCCCTTGTTCCTCATTTTCTTCAGAACAGACTAAAAAGTTGAGGCGACAACTGCGTGACCCATCCACTAGTTCCTTATCTGTTCATCTTAGAATCACAGAGATATTTGAGATGGCCTCAAGGATGCGCCAAGCGCGCGACAGGCAAAGAGAATCAATTGCTCTCAGAGGTTCGAACCCTGGCAAATCCGTCGCTAACATCTTCCGTCATCGGTCCTCCCCTAAGCGTGGTCATGAACTTCCACTCATGCTAAATGATAACAAAGTCTTCCTCACCGATGACACGGACAAGACGGAGTTGTTTAGCGCTTTCTTTGCAAAACACCTTGCTGCCGAGTCCGATCCGGTCCCTTTCTTTCGATCACTTTCAGATAGGACACTTAGTACAATTGATGTCTCCTCAGATCTCATTAAGAAACACATCAGTCGTTTGAAATACTCACACTGCCCAGGAACGGACGAGATTCCGAATTCGATTATTAAACAAGCGTCCGACCTTCCCATATTGCTTACTCATTTATTCTCGGTTTATATTTCAAAAGGATTCTTTCGTGAAACATGGAAAACGTCAATTATCATTCCCGTTTTCGAGTCAGGATCTCGGTCCGATGTTAATAACTATCGGGGCGTGCACAAAACGCCGTCTCTAGCAAAACTTCTTGAAAGGATTATTTTCAATGAAATTCTCGACTTCTGTCTAGCTAATCGGCTTCTGAGCTCTAGTCAGCATGGGTTTTTACCTGAACGATCCTGCGAAACATGCCACTTGGCTTTTCTTAATCTAATCACTTCTCTTCGTAATGAGCGGCAGTCAGTGGTTGTTATTTACTTTGATCTTAGCAAAGCCTTTGACAAGGTGCCCCATAGACGTCTTTTAGTAAACTTGGAAGCTCTCGGCATCCGGCCGCCTCTACTCGACTTCATCACGTCCTGTCTGTCCAACCGATATCAGAAAGTCATGGTCGGTAATAGCTACTCGACACCCCACTCGATCACGAGTGGCATACTTCAAGGAACGGTTCTGGGTCCGCTACTCTTCCTTCTGTGCATCAATGATATTTCGACTGAACTCGGAAATTCGCAAACTTTTACTTATGCCGATGACCTCAAGTGTGTTTACTCATACTCTAAGGACACCGAAAATGTTTGTGTTGAAAAAATTAATGCCGATTTACTACGCTTAAGCAGATGGGGTTCGACATGGCAGATGGAGTTTTCATCATCCAAGTGTAGTTTCATGTCTTTTGGTCCTACCAAACTTCCTGGTCCCATAATTTTTCAGAATAACCCACTCTCAGAATGCCTCACCATAAAGGACCTAGGTCTAAGTTATACAAATAAACTTGCTTTATCACCTCATGCAGATAGAATCTCTGCCAAAGCCGCGCAGATATGTGGATTCATATCGCATAATATTTTCCTTCCGGAAATGAAGCTAAGACTTTATCAAATGTTTGTTCTTCCAGTCCTCGAATACCGCTGTCCTTTCTTCGGTTTAATGAACGCCTGCGACCGTAATAAAATTGAAAATGTTCAGAGGGTTTTCACCCGCAAACTGTTTTCTCAAGCTTCGTCCAGTATTTCTTATACTCAGATATGTCAGCTGGCGAACATTAAGTTTTTGTGGGTTAGAAGACTCGATGCTGGCCCTTGCTTCCTTTTTCGCATCAACTCTAGCTCCAGTCTTCCGTACATTGACACTCTCACTCCGAGAGATCGGTCTTATGCCACGCGCAACTCCTGCATGGTGATTCCGCCGCCTCTTTGTACTACCTCTAAGCGCTCCCTCTTCTTTGCTTCCAAATATGCCTTCCTTTTGAATAATCTTCCGCCTGAAATTAGATTATCGCCTAATTTACTAGTATTCAAGTCGAAATTGCGCAAACATCTCACACCGGAAAACATAAAGGCACTGTTAGCGGTCTCATTTCCGAACACTCAGATTCTTGACTTCGAGAAGGGTCCTCCTGGGATTTGGTGGTAGATTAAGTGGTAACTCTTAATTATATCATTAGAAACCCCTGTTTTGAATTGGTTTCTAACTCCACTGCTATCACTCCCCCCCATAGCGACAATTTTCGCGGTTTTTGATGTCATCTCCCGCATTCCGACCTCATGCGGTCTGTCGACGCTCAGGGCGGAATCCTCAGTATTCACTGTCTACTAGTAGTTCGGTCGTACCTCCCTTCCTCACTGCTTGGTTGAGCTCGAAGCGTGCTGTGGCCGATCGCATCTCGGTTCCTCTCGTCTGGCCTCTTTGACGCGGCGTACCAATCCGGCCCAGACGATCTCAATTGTGAATCCCGTATACAATGCCATTTGCAAGCCAGTCCTGTCTGACCCACATTCGTACCCATCAAGGCGAACATTTATTGCTACCCTGACGATGACCGACAACATTCCGTTATATACCGCCACCTACAGGCCAGTCCTGCTCGCTTTTTCTGTTATTGTTTTTATGGAGAGGTTTTTTTTCTCCTGTAAAATCAATCCAATCATTTTTAACTTTTTGTAAGGAGTTTTTTTTCACATCTCAATCATCATGTTTCTCAATGGACTTCTTATCCAGAAACTATAAATTACATTTTGTAAAGATTCGGCCTACCTCGTCTAAAACTCGCATGCAAATTTATTTTAACTTGCTTTGATGGGACCCCGACGGGTCTTTAATAAAAAATTATCTATCTATCTATCGTACCCGCTCTCCAACAAGAGACAATTACATTTTGGATCTGATCCTTATGAATGACATTGCTCTCATTTTCGTTGATTTCAAACAAGATCTTTTTGATAGTGTTCATGCATTAAACAACCGTTTACTTCCGCTTGGCTTTGCAAAAAGGCCGGCACAGTTCGGACTTATCTAGACTACGATTTCGTAGCCAAAAACTCAATAAATAACTGTCTTGGATCGTTGGACTAGCAAGTCCCCATCGTTTTTAATGTTGCAACAGTTTTTTGACGTCATGCCAGTCGTTTCCAAAGACACCTTAGGATTTGTGCCCCGCAGGTGTATCAAGTCTAACTCATCTGACTCCATTGTTCCTCACTGTCCGTCTAGAAAACTAATAAAATCTGAGAAGACAGCCGCATGACCCGTCCACTATTTCTTTACCCGTCCATCTAAGAATCACATAAATTTTCGAATTGTCCTCGAAAATGTGTCAAACGCGCGACAGGCAGCGAGAATCCCCTGCACTCAGTGTAGTAAATCCTGCCAAATCCGTTGTTCAAATCTGCCGTCGTGGATCCTCCTCTAGGTGTGGTCACGAAATTCCCCCTTGCTAAACGGTAATAAGATCTTTGTCATCGAGGGCGCTGGTGGGGCGGAGATGCTCAGTGTCCTCCTTGCAAAACATCTTACTACTGATTCCAAACCAGTTCATTCCGTTTGTCCGCTTTCAGATATAATTTCGTATGCAGTCCATACCTTCTCAGATCTAATTCAGAAACACATCCGTCGTTGAGAAACTTTTACCTCTCGGGAAAGGACGGTATTCCAAACTCGATTAACAAGAAGGTATCAGACTCTGCTAGGTCGGTTAGTCATCGATCCTCAGTTTATCTTTCGTGAGGATTCTTCCCAGAAACACGGTAGACCCCAAGTATCCACTCAGTCTACTAGACATGATCGCGATTTGACGTTCATATATATCAGGATGTGCATAAAACTCCGTCTGCGGCAAAACTTCTTAGTAGGATAGTTTTCAATGAAAGTGTTGGTTTCTGCTTAGGTAATCAGCCTCTGAGCCCTACTCAACATGGATTTTTCTTGAGAGATCTTCCGAACACAGAATTCCTAGCGGTTTTCGGACAGCCATACCTTCCATGTGCAGCGGATGATTCGCTCCTTCATTTAGTCAAGAAAGTGGCTAGCCACCTAGAGGTTCTTATTGCTGGGGATTTCAACGCACCTGCATTCGAGTGGGAAGCTATGGCCGAGAGCTGGCCGGACCACTGTCCTTTCTGTGCCAAAAATCGTTCGATGCTGGAATCATTCCCACAGACTGAAAGACGGCCCACATTATAACCCTTTACAAAAGCGGTGGTCGTGCTCTTGCGACGAACTACAGACCTGTCAGCCTGACATCAATCTGCTGCAAGCTGATGGAGAAAACCATCAAAAAAGGAAATGAGGGCTTATTTGGAAACCAACAGCCTCTTGTCCAATGCGCAATACTGTTTCCGTAGGGGAAGATCATGTGTAACGAACTGGCTGTATACAATACAAAGTTGGAAAAGACCACTGGATGCAAAACACACTGTGCATGTGGCCTATATTGATTTCCCGATGGCGTTCGACGTGTTCCGCACCAGCGTCTCCTGTACAAGCTGAGAGTCTTGGGCGTCGGCGGCTAACTTCTCAAATGGATCGATAATTTCCTCATCGGCCGTTCCCAAATTGTCTACGTAGACGCTGGTGCGGAACACGTCGAACGCCATCGAGAAATCAATATAGGCCACATGCACAGTGTGTTTTGCATCCAGTGGTCTTTTCCAACTTTGTATTGTATACAGCCAGTTCGTTACACATGATCTTCCCCTACGGAAACAGTATTGCGCATTGGACAAGAGGCTGTTGGTTTCCAAATAAGCCCTCATTTCCTTTTTTGATGGTTTTCTCCATCAGCTTGCAGCAGATTGATGTCAGGCTGACAGGTCTGTAGTTCGTCGCAAGAGCACGACCACCGCTTTTGTAAAGGGTTATAATGTGGGCCGTCTTTCAGTCTGTGGGAATGATTCCAGCATCGAACGATTTTTGGCACAGAAAGGACAGTGGTCCGGCCAGCTCTCGGCCATAGCTTCCCACTCGAATGCAGGTGCGTTGAAATCCCCAGCAATAAGAACCTCTAGGTGGCTAGCCACTTTCTTGACTAAATGAAGGAACGAATCATCCGCTGCACATGGAAGGTATGGCTGTCCGAAAACCGCTAGGAATTCTGTGTTTTGTGTGTACGCTATGTTTTCTTTATTCAGGCGGATTCATGTGCAAGGGAGAAGGTGTAGGCTCGTTCAACTACCAAAAGATCTGTCCTTTCATATACGACTACCTCATCGCCCTATCTGTTTTGTCGGTCTCTGCGAGACAGCTGGTAACCCCGTATCGAAATCTCAGCATCCACGATTTCGTCCTTAAGCCATGTTATCGTTATGACAATGATGTCGGTGTTCCAGTCTGAAAATAGCGCTTTACGTTCGTCAATCTGCAAGACGGTACTTTGCGAATTAGTATACAAAATTTCAATTTGGACTGAGTGACTCCGGCATATAGGCATCTGTCCACTTCATGGGATTGAATGTAAAGCCGGCCGGATCTGGTCGAGACTGACTGCTGTCCATTACGCCTAAACTGTTAGAGCTATAGGCTTTCTCCAGTGAAATGGCTTCTGACTGTGTATAATTTTCTTGTTCAGTTTTCTCAGATTTTTCTCGCCCAGACTCGACCTCCTGAGGCCCTCTAATTTGAGTCCTCTTTATTTCTCTCTCTCTCTGCGGGTAAAAAGTTGAAAAAAACTGTTAGGTGGGTATGTTGAGGTGCGGATTTCCTGCTCAACAGAAATTGTACTTGTTCCTCATTCTGGAAGACAATTTTAGCGGTCTCTGACAGTTTGACTCATTGTTTGAGTCTTTTGTTCGATCCACCCTGAAAGCCTTCAATACGGTAACTCTCTCTTCTCCTCTTAAGAGCGATTTGAGATATTGCTGGAATATTTCTGTCATGACGTAATTTGTCCCTTGAAGTATCGGGAACAGACTCAGGCACGCCCTTTATGACAATGCATTTACTGCGATCCACTCGAGGGCCTTGTGGCATATTCTTGCGCTCAGAGATTTCATCACGGATATCCGGACTACCACCATTCTCTGACTTAGGAGGGTTTGATTCGGCAGGACTAACGTATGACCTCCCGCTTACTACGGTCCCTTAATCCTTTGTTATTTTCGGCGGCACGATTTTTGTTTGCGGTGTACCCAACTCTAGCTTCCTTATCTGACCTTATGCGACTTTTCGAGGTGCTATGGGACATTTTTTGTTCTCTGAAATCCCGTCGGGTTGCACGTTTCTCACACCAGAAACTGGCTGTCATATATTTCGAACTCCGGGGACCTACTTTTTCTTTTCTTTGGGTGAATAGCGAGAGAGATTCTTCAACTTCCCAATCTCCATTTATATACCCACAATTTCTTTCTCAATGTCCACAATTTTCTGAGGGAATTCGAAGCATGTCGTACAGGCTTCGCCTCCTTATTTGACATCCATCCAGCTTCTTAAATTCTTTGCTCGTTTTGCGGGAGGTGACTTGACAGCAAAAGGTACAGAGTTACAGTCATTTTTACTATGAGAATATGAATGAAAAATTAGGGGATATTTTAGATATGCCCACTGAAAAATAAATCCGCGGATACCAAACCGCGAATAGACTGCGGCCAACTGTATCATCCACAGACAGCTCTCAGACCCCGCTATTGATTATAGAATTTTTGAAAATTTCACTATCAGGCTATAACGACAGATCTTTTGCTCGATCATCAGTCGCGCTCAACGCGCCCAAAATAATAATTAATAATTATTTTTATTAAAGACCCGTCGGGGTCCCATCAAAGCAAGTAAAAATAAATTTATATGCGAATTTTAGACGAGGTAGGCAAAATCAGTACAAAGTACAATAAATAGTTTTTGAGCTTAGAAGTCCGTTGAGAAAAATGATAAGCGAGGGGTGAAAAAAACTCCATAAGAAAATTTAAAAATGATTGGATTAATTTTACAGGAGAAAAAAACCGTCGAAAAAATAGAAACAGAAAAATGAGGGCAGGACTGGCCTGCATGTGGCGGTATAGAATGGGTTACAGTCGGACATCAACAGGGTCGAAATAAATGGCAGCTCTATATGGCATTGTATAACGGATTTCATGAAGGGGTAAGTAGGCGGGTCGGTCAGGACTGGCCTGTATGTGGCCTTGAATAAGGCAAATAAGTGGCGAAATTGAAAACCAGTCTCGAGGCGATAGGAACCCAGATGCGGTCGGTTACATTCATCCGAGTCCATCCGAGGATGGGGCAAGGGAGATGCGACCAGACTACTGGTATATGGCGAATACAGGAGGTTTCGCCAAGAGCGTCGATGGAGCGCATTCTGTGAGGGCACGATGCATGAACTGAAAAAATGAAAAAATTAACATTTCTGGTGAGGGATCTTAGGAAACGAGACTACACACAAAGGAAGGAAATGTGAACAGATACGGAAATTTAATGGCGGCATACTAAATTCCCGGTGGTCCTTTCTCAGTGTCATAGAAAACGTTGTCTGGGAAGGATGAGGAAAATAAAAGTTTAATCGAGTCAGTATTCAGATAAAGGCGTAGCCTTCATTTAAAGGTGTGTAGATTTTCTGAAGATCTTATATTTATTGGAAGGTTATTCCAGAGGAAAGTATATCTGAAAGCGAAAAAAAGGGAGCGCTAGAGGTGGAGGACGCTGGAGGAGGTATAATCAAGGACGAGTTGCGAAGATTGTATGGGCGACTACTAGGGGTGAGTGCTGAAATCCGAGGAAATTTTGAACTAAGGTTAATGCGAAAGAGGAGACAGACGCCCGCTTCTGGTCTTCGAACCCATAAAAATTTTAGGTTAATTAGTTGGCATCTATCAGAGTAGGAGATTTTGGGATGTTCCTTATCTAAAAGTTTTTTAGTATAACGTCTTTGGACATTTTCAATTTTTAAACGACTAGCTTCATTCATCAAACCAATGAATGGGAAATTAAACTCACGGCTGCCGGGGGAGCTTCGTAGCTCAGGGGATTAGTGTTGGCTGTGCTCAGGCATTCCCTTGTTATCCTGGGTCCGAAGCTCACCGAGGTCACCGAGTTTTTCATAGCTTCTTCAAAGTGAACTCGCTTATCTCACATCTGCATTTAGATTATGTGGAGACGTAGAAACTTCCAGGACGAGTGATAGGATTGAAGCAGCACACGTATTATTTGCTGTAGTTCTGCTGCATTCCGTCAAAGGCCTACAGACGTAAAGGCTGTGTAAGCCATGCATGTGCTTAATAGAAACACATATGATCAAGGTAAGCGGACAAAGCGAGACCAGATCTACCCCCGTAGAATTATCGAGTTGCATGCAAGGCAACCGCACACACCGTGCTCAATGATGTGTACTTTTTACTAAAAGGCGAAATGACTTTAACGTTTTTGATTGCTTCATATCTGCGCCCGGATACTAGACACTTTTAGTATATTTGCTGTAGTGGACCTCGCCTTTCCATTTTCTAGAGTTTATTCTTGTTGTTTCGTAATGGAATAACAAATACTTTTCATTTTCCAATTCTGATCATTTTTATGCATTCAGATAAGCACTTTTACTACAGATAATTTGGTTCCTAGTTCTGATGTGTAAACGGTATACAGGTGAATTTCGGTCCGGCATTTGTCTTTTAATTACAGTTGGTTCCCTTGCGCTTAATTTTGCTTCAATAATTAATCACGAACAACTCAGTCTTGGTCCAGTTTGCAGCATTCCTCGCACGATATCAGTGTAAAATTCTCACGCGCTTGGCTTTTTTGACACTCCTGAGTCGCACAGTACTATTTAAGTGACCGTGAGACTGCCTACAAGTTTATTACAGTTTAAGTCTGGAGCTCGAACTCTTGCTCTCCGTGCACCTTCTTATTTCACTCCTCTGACCCCTTGGTGTTTTCATATGCATAACCTGTTTTCTGGTCTGCCAACGCCGTTTGTCAGGCACCTTGTGGAAAGTGGACCAATGCTTTCGGTTTCCCTGAAATCTTCTTGTTTCTGTAATTACGGTGTGGATCCCTGAAACACGTAAACTGCGTGAACGCAAATTGAACCGATGAAAAAATAGAAAAGTTGCCCGGAATATCAAGGCCGTTAAACACACATGGACGATAGATTGGTGAATTAAAACCGCTAGTAAAGAAAAACAACGAAGTTACCAGGTAGCATGAACAAACGCATAGCGCAGAAATACATTGCCAATAGGGATTGATAAATGACCGCTTTTAAGTGCGGGTTGTGGGGAGAAGAGACTGAGGAGAGCTTTCCTACTTATTGAACACAGGAACGTCAATCAGGTCCAGGATTGGGGAGTAGTCCTTATTCTTTTCTTATTACTTCGTTTTGAGCAAATAGTTTGTAATCACGATGTTGACTGGGAGGGGTTCTTAGAAAACAAGTCGGTCGAATTGGAGTTTTTGCACCAAACCGTCGTGGCGTTTAAACGTATCAGGTCCTGAAACATGATTGGCATATGTAAAGATACATTATAAAAGCCGACGGAATAAATTCGAGTGTACGCGCCTGCTTGCTATTGGACTGCGGCTGTAGGTCTGGTTCCCGTATTGGTTTCAAGGTCGTCCCTGTTGCTGAAACGAGGAGTGGTAAGTTAAATTCCCTCCTCATTTAAAACAAGATTTGTCCGGCCGATGTCCTATTGCTCTGCGGAAAAAGGGTTTTCACATGTCTATGCTCCCACGCCTTTTCGGGTGTGGTTTGAATAAAAGCCACAGTGTTTTTTCTATCTGCAGATACTTTTTCAAGTTCGGTCTGCAGGCTGTAAATCCACGAACAATGCAGGAGTTCGGTGTTTTGTTCATTCTTGGTGGTCCTGGGGCTGGCAAGGGAACTATTTGTCAAAAAATCGCCGAGGTATATTCGCAGTCTTAAATGTTATATTATCCATATTGCGAGACGTTCTCTTTGTATTTTGCAGGCGTGTTTATCATTTTATTTTTTATTCTTGTCTCTGCTTCGTCAATAGTACATCAAAACAAACGGTAGCTTCTTGCGGGACCAGCCGTTTGTTCTTCGTGTGAAGTTTTCTTCGTCCAACGCTTTGAACTCACTTCTTCCCTACCCGTCTAGTCCAAAGTGTTTCACCAAATAATGCCTTCCCCCTCTTACCACGAGTGTACTAATGACCACACATGTCAAAAATGGGTAATTACTACTGCGTATGTACACCAAATAGCATTCCTAGTAGCTGTACATTACTCAAGCCCATTGCGTCCATGACTATGAAGTGCCACGACCTCTATTTCAAGGCTTTTTAATTTACTAAGAAGTTAATGCAGAGACTTCGAATATATTTCTCGGCATAGGATTCAAGTCCGGTTCGAAAGTTCATATGAATAGTTAAGCTGAAATCCATCAATTCAGGTCAATAGCCGCGTAGTGTTCAAATTGTGTCCACAAGCAGTCGGTAGTATGGAAATACTGGTTGGTTAGTCATCCTCGCAGCACAGTTACCAAAATTTCGGACATGTGTTTTGCCTATTTTGTGCTGCCGCATAACGCGGATGTGAGGGATTCGACCCATCAGTGGTCCCCCAGCCTCCGTCATTAGTTTTCTCAAGTCCGGTCCGAAATGACCAAAACATGTGTCTGGCCTTTTGGGAGTATGATAAACCAACCAGCATATATATAATGATAAAAGGACGTTCATCAATCAAGCTACAGGACATGCTCATTTCGTTGCTTCTTATGGTTCAGTGTAGGACCTTTACAGACTGCCATATAGCGACCAGTAATCATTCAAGGAGTGCTGATAAAGTCAAGAGAGGCTGGGACGGCTGTTATTGGTCTCGTCAGACACCTGTGCACAGGCGCTCTAGAGACCACTGAAAAGAAACGTTTTGCCACTGAATATCGGCGTGCTACTATATATCCGTCAGAATAACAGTCCTTCATCTCATTGAACACTAGGCATTCGAACTGAGTGCATGCTACCCATCGCCTGCGAGACTTGATCGATCCCTGATTATTATAAGCTAGTCGGTAGTTGTCGCCGTAATTACTGCCTTCGGGTAGAAGTTAACGGAGACACTAACCTTGATCTTCCCTGTTCTACGTCGACGTTGAGATTTCTTAGGCTAAATTCTTGAATCAGTACTGAGTGAGGCATTATAAAAGTGACCGCCATCCCCATATACGGAAATCAATGGTCTCCTATTTACCTGTCTGACACCGGATCCCTGAATCTCGGAAAAGACCATTCGATTGTCAAGGCATTCCTGCTCCGATATTGAAAGTCATGTATCTCGTCAGCAATGCATATGCAGTTAGTGGTACGCCATGCTATTTCTATCGGAAACATCCGGTCAGACAAAGATAAGAAATTGAATTGTTGCGCACCAACCTGCTTGCCACCTATTACCGGGTTATGGTCGTCGAACCCCAACTGCATCCCTTAAACTATCATCCTGTTCCGTGGCGAGACTCAAAATCGAGTCCTTAATATGAACAAGGTAAGGGGACGAAATATGCAAAATTTAATGTCATTGAATTTCAACTAACATCCCGTTCTGGGCCATTGTAATCACGCTTGGCGATGTTTTGCTGTAATCCGATCTCGTTCATATACACAGTTTCCCTCCCCCTCTCACCGTGCCAACAGGCGTCAGATCAACACATTTGAGCATTTTATCTAATTAATATGCAATTGCCATTCACACTTGGGTAAGTGGTCACGCAATCTTATCAAGTCACCAAATTCCTCATATTCCGTCGCAGTGGCTTTGTTCCAATTTTATTTCGACGACCTACGTTCCAAAAGTCTTTCATTTGTCCGGTTTTTGCTGTAGACCTATAATCTGGTCCATTTATCAGCCGGCGAGTTGCTACGCAAGGAGATGGCCGACCCTTTATCCAACTTTGCTGCTGAAATAGAACCTTACATAAAGGCGGGCACCATCGTCCCAGTTGAAATCACTTGCTCTTTGTTGCATAAGGTAAGTAATTCGTTCTCTTCTCACATACACCCCATACCTATGAGAAGTACGCATGCACATCCAGTTGTCGCTGTCTAGAAACACCACACTGCACAGATCCTTGTTTATTCATGCCAGTCCATTTCGATGGGAAATCTTTTTTTTCTTTGTAGAGGGTATTTTCATATGGTAACTCTATTTCCTGCTGGGAGTGCAAGTTGACGTTGTCACCGTTGTCTCCAAATTTCGGCTAGTTTGGATATTCTGAGACAATCGTCTTGTGCCCTGTTCATGAGCATAGGGAGTCTGTTTTTTATGCGGAGACCAAATCAGTGGTTGTCTTTTGATGTTCTTTTGCAGCTTATTCGCAATCTTATAGTTTTTAAGCAAATCAAGTGCTTATCTAGTCACTTTTCATTGGCCATGACGTTCTTCAATTCTCCATTGTCGACGTCATCTAAATGACATTTGGCATAGCCTGCTTTCTAGAGAATTTGGGGTTGTATATCCAGCCTACAGTGTAAACGGAATCTTTTATGAGGTAGCGAATGAATTTTAGAAAAAGCTAGACACGTTTCGTTCCAGTCTGGGATACATCGCTCTTTGCAAAGCTTTTGTAGCCGTCCGTCGCCTTTGTTTAACGCCCTACGGCATTCACTGCGAGTGCTGCCTACTGGCTGCAGTACGGCCACAAATGTGACTTCGGGTAACCACAACAGTCTTTTCCATGTATAACGAAACACACCATTCGGAAGTGGGACCCCATAAAAATTGCCCACGCGATTTACCTTCTTGGGCATCGTTGGGCACTATCAGCACGTACCGCTCGTGAGGCAGCATTTCAGGGTCGTGAGTAAAATGAATCCCTCATTCTGTCTACTTTTGTCTTCTGCCTCAAAGATTGTGGCGCTTAAGTGAAACCCTTTTCTAGTTAAAACAGCTCTACTCTGTTGCCTTACTGTCCAATATGAAAGCAGACCTAACTGGCAGATCAGCAGGTTTCCCAAACTCCGTGTTTTTCCTATTTTCGTTCCTCCAATTTCATTCTCACATTATGTAAACCAGCAGAACTTTACAATACACCAAATCTATCATTTTGTGCTTCTCATTTCGTGATAAGTAGTTAGACCGCTATTTCAAGCTCACATTTTTTCTCTTTTCAGGCTATGCTGGAGGGCTATAAAAGCAAACAGTGTGTGACCTACCTCATCGACGGTTTCCCTCGCAACGAAGACAACAAGTCAGGGTGGGAACGAAACATGTGTGACAAGACTCGTGTCCTTCAAGTCCTGGTTTTGGACTGTCCCGAAGACGTATGTTTCATGACTTTTTCTCGGACGTTTATTTTCTGCTAATCCTTCATGCCTTAGTCACCGTTGCCTACATGACTTCGATCCCGACCGACCCAGGCGACATCTGGATTTTTTTGCACTGCACTCCTTTGTTTTCGTGAACTTGGTATGGTTGTGATAGTGCCTTTTTAAGTCAGTTTCAATGATATTGCGAGTTCTACCCGCGTGGTGACGTTCAGCGATAGATGAACTGAAGAACCCGATCAACTCTTCTCCAGCAACGGAGTCTAAATGGCCTGAGTCCACTAGCCACCGCCATGACTTGCCGGGCTATGCCGAGGTTGACCTCTTATTCGTCGCCACGTCTGTTCAGGGACAGCAGCACAGAACTGGCAGATCAGGCGACGATGATCGGACTCATAGCATTTCAGTTGTCCTTCCTGGATGGTCCGATATATCGTCGAGGTGTTGTTCCGACAAATACGGACTGTATTGCCGATAGAAGCGAAGAGACGAGTCCCAGGAAGCAGTCTTAAAGAATGAGACACGATCACTGGGACAAGAGCTTTGTTAACCTGACGTTTCAGATTCCTGCTCGAACCCATCATCAGAGACAAGAGCAGATACGGGGGTTCATGCATAAGGGGACGCACTTTTCCCAGCCACAGGGTCAGTGCGTCAGATGGTCGAGCCATCATCACACCAACGTCCAACGCACGTGATGAAATTGCAGCAATTAACGATGCCAATGTCGGCCATCACACCACGTGCAACGATCCCTGATGAAAGGGGAAACCGTGAATATTCATAGGTATGCGGTAGCATGGCGACTGCAGCCCCTTGTGCATGAACCACCCGTATCTGCTTTTGTCTCTGATGATGGGTTCGAGCAGGAATCCGAAACGTCAGGCTAATAAAGCTCTTGTCCCAGCGATCGTGTCTCCTTCTTCAATACGGACTGTATTATTCGGTGTACTTCTCTCGGAGGATAGTTTTCAGACAATTACGACCAAACCAGCAGCTTTTGCTCATCTTCCACGCGCACAGTCCAGCATTCACAACCATACAGGGGAACGTACGGGCCTGGTGTCAGAGGGGCTATATTGTTGGCATAATCAAGGCACTTTTGTCGGAGTTCGAAACTGCTCAGCGCCTTTCCAAGAATCCAGTCAGTGGCGCAGTTAGACAGGATGGTTGGCAGAACGTTGTCTTGCCAAAACGCCTATTGACAGAGATGGTTGTGGATTAAAAATCGAGTTTCGGTGACGCAATAACCTGCTTTAATCAACATTATTTAATTCCACCATCCGGAACGGGGACTTATAGCGAACAAAATCGAACGCTACAACGAAGAAAACAGAAAAGACGGTTATCAATTGATAATAGCCGTAGCGAAGTTCAAGCTTGCGTCGCAGCGGGAATGCTTAATTTGGGCATCAACGTTCATCACGGAAACCGGCACTCACTCTCGGGTCTACCGCACGCTTAAACAGTTTGATAATGACCTTCGCAGGGACGCAAAAACTGCTACCAAGGTAGTTCTGGCGACTCGTCTTCCTTCGCTGGGACAAGCGCGAAGATGACCAGACCAGTGCCATTAGCAGGATTCCCTTCTCCGCACGTTTAGTTTATCGCATTTTTAAGTTAGACTGTCGGCAAGGAACTTGTGAACATCAGCTGGGATGCCATACTGTCTTTGCAACCTGTCGTTGCGCAGCTTCCATGCTGCAGCTACCACCTCTTCCTGAGGAGGGAGTCACAAAACACTGCGAGGGTTTGTGAACGATGAAAATCCACAGCAGAGAAGGGGAGCGGCGTGATGGGTCGGCCATCGAAAATGAGAAGGCAGTCCGAATGCTTACGCCAGCGCTTGACCTCGGCCGAGATGTCATCCGTAAAAGTGTTATTCATATCGCGAACAGTCTGCTAGTGCGGAGCCTATCATCAGCTTGATAAATGAGTTGGTCGTTTTGGTGTGCCACCGACGTTTGTGATCCGCTCGTGATTGATGACGCAACTAAAAGCCTGTCCTTCGCCATGCTGGCCGACTGATTCGAGGACCTAATTCAGTCAGTACGGCGTATTTTACCGGTTGTAAAGGCTTAAACCTCGCTGATCCATGTCGTCGTCGTAGTCTAAATCAGTAGGCTCTCGTGTTCGAGGTTATCATGACTGTGTTGGTGTTGTGGTTTACGGTCTAGGCCTACAAACCTTGATTCTCCCCGGACTGTTTAAATTCCACGCAAGTTTAGACCGAACGAAGTGTTGTTTGTGATGACTGACAGAACTTTTATAAAGAGTTCTAAGAAATTTATGACGGTAATCGCCGCATCCTTGCCTTTCCTGGCGAACTGCCAGACCTAGGGCAGCAAACGGATTTCCTGTAAGCATTCGGGCAGGAAACGAGTTCCGCAAGGTGATTTCGAAAAGTCAGTCTGCGCCAATTTACACATGATTTCCCAATTGCTAAATATCTAGTTTTATCTGTGAAACGGACTTTCCACCTACACAGCTGCCTGCCCCTATCAGTTCCCCCTGATTGTACTTGCTCAAACAATAACCAATTTAAGTGTCTTTTCTGGCGACGGGCACTTTTTAACACTGTCGTTGCCTTGTGTCTGGTCTCCCGACGGTGGGGCACATAACGTTGGTGTAGCACGAGTGGTTGATGGCTGCGACAGGAAGCCTTGAAGGCAATAAAAGAAAAAAAGGTGGCAATAGGCTGGATTCCTATTAATTGCTCCTCGGAACTGGAAGGCGGAAGTATCCGTGCATCTCCTCAAGGCCATTATCTACTCTAATTTTTAACGACGCTGCTGCGATCTGATATTTTTGTCTCCCATGTGGTATCACATGACAGTGCATAGCGGAGGCGTGGATTTTCACACCGAAATTGTGATATGGGGTATAAAACTTTAGAACCATTGTTTCAATGAAATTAAAGTGTTGGTTACGCCATTTTTGTCCGCAGTGCAGAAGACGAACAAGTTCGCAAGCTCAAAGTAAGTGTCACGTCAATCTACTATCATCGTCTTACTCTCATACGATCTATAATAAATCTTGCCTAACCATGCGTAACATGGCAAACCTTCGTCGTCTTTAAGCCAGCAACAGGTGTACTTTGCTATTTGACCTTTTGGCGATCCGTTATCCGACTAGCAGGGACTTTTGTCAGGCCAGTAGCTAGATATTAGTCTAGCGTTTGTGTTCTCCGTGCTCGACAGCCTCTGCCGACAAAGACGGTGCACAAGAATAGCTATTTCTGTCATACTTGTCAGCGTCGGTGTGCCGTACTTCAGTCATAGACCATGAAGACTTGGAGTGTGAACCTTGGCGCGCTTCATTATCAGGCGTGATAGGTCACGGGCTCAAGCTCCTGTTTGTGATCGGAGTCACGTAGGCGTGTCGTTTACTGTTCTAGTATTATTAAAGGACGGAGTATCTGATTCAGACTTGGGATTCTCAGCGGCGGATTGCCGACAAGGATATCATCAGCTTTACCCAAACCCGGCTTTTAGGGGCATCCGACTAGTAGTATGTGCAGGTAGTTTGGCTACGGGAACTTTGGTTCAGTCAGTCTTTTAGCGTTCTTTCAGCCACCATCACATTGCATAGAACACGTCATTCCATTTACGATACATATGTGCACCTGTACGTTGCCTGTCAGCGTCAAGTGACCGCATGGGGCCTCCGCATCTTCTAGTTTTCACGAATTCTTGTTTCACCGCCGTGCATCCCGCGTTCGTTAGCAACAGTGGACACCTGTCGTCTTCGTCGACAATTTAAAACGCCTTCTTCTTAGGGCTGTATTAGGAGCTGATTTGTGCCTAAATTAACTGGTAGAATTCAGCGCCAGTTTTCAGTTTCCGCCCAGAAGTGATGCGTTGCACTAATCACGCTTAACCTTAACCAGACTGTGCACTTGATGCAGTAGTGTATTAAGAGTGTGAATGGGACCCAGTGTGCTTCCATTATTTTGTTTTTTTTTCTCTGGGGCGCTGATTTTCCACATGGCATGGCCTCATGAATGACGCCCCTTATAGGATTTGTATTTCGAATACCGGGCGCTAGAGGTCAGCAGGACCGTTACTTACACTGCTCAGTCTAATGCAGCAGACGGTTGTCGAGAAGCCGTGTAGCCCCTATTAACCAGATGTACCTAGCGATATGGCGATTTGCCTTGTTTAATTTCCGAGGAAACTAATGCGCGAACTTGGAGTAACTCTTTCGGAACAGACCTTTTCAGGCACGGTCCGAAGTTTGATATGAATATTTGAGCTGAAATCCGTCAGCTACTGCGGAATAACCGCTTAATATTTACAAATATTCATATCAGACTTCGGACCGTGCCTGAAAAGGCCTGTTTCAAAAGAGTTACTCCAAGTTCGCGCATTAGTTTCCTCGGAAATTAAACAAGGCAAGTTGAAACTGGAGTTCATATACCAGAAAACACACGGGGAAAACTGGGGGACCCACTGACGAGCCGAACCCCTCGCAGCTGCGTCAGGCAGCGGCATAAGATCGGCGGAACACGCGTGTCTGGGCTTTTAGCTAATACCTGTGTTGTTAGTACGGTAAATCATTGCACAATGATATGCCGATTGTCATCAATAGAAGTTTACTAAAGAGGTGATGGCCAAAAATGCCTTCACCGACTCAAACCACATATGTACCTCGAGCCCAGAGTCATCGATCGTTACAGTTAGTGACCTAACTCATGAAATGTGTCGAAATTTGCGAATGATTGCTAATCACTGGCAAACCGGCACCATTTCATTAGTCAAATGTCAATGTTAATCAAGTACAAGTTTAAAAGAATTAAAAACTTGAAAGAAATATCATAGGCAGTGTTGCGTCGTTTAGAAATGTCGATTTATTTTGAAAAGCGCCATATCCCGAAAACGTCAGAAATGGGTCTAATTTAACAAACTTCGTTTTTAGATGTATGGAATGTATTTTCATACCAAAAACGTACTAAATATGAAAATAGACATAAAATAACGTCTAATATCGGTGTTTCAGTGAAGTTTACATCTCAGTCAGTCAGTGTATTTGTGGGAAATAGGCTTGCGCCTTTGAACTCCTTATTTGTACATAAAAATCGATAAATAAGCAAAATGTGAAAAAATTACAGCATCAAGTGAATGCAGACATTGATTCACATATGTCATTGGTCTCATGGCTAAAAGTCACATAGTCTAAATATCGTTTAATAAGTAGTGTGATTTCATATATGACGGTTTGTCAACTGCTTACATTCTGAGTGTAGATTCCAAAACAGTTTTCGAGTGTTTTGTGTTTTCCTTGACTATTTGGTGTTAAATGAGAGGGTGTTCAACAAGAGAAGCTGGATTTTGCTTGATTTCGCCGATGAGGACGTCGTAGGATCAAAAGTTTTCATAAGGTGACATGCCACGAGGCCGGTCGGTGCCGAATAAATTTGCGGCTTTGGAACCACTTGTTACTCAAAACTCTGGCTGACCTCGTCAAGACAAATGGAAACTACCATTGTCCTTCTTCCATTCTTTGGTTTTCCAGGTTTGTGTCAAACGGTGTCTAGGACGTGGCTGCGGACGTATCGACGACAATGAGGAAACTCTAAAAAACAGGTCAATTACCTTCTATGCCAACGTCCCTTTACGATAGTTTTGTTGCATTATTTCTTAAATTTCAGAAATTTACGCTGGTTACCGCCTGTTCAATATACTAACAGTGTTTCTTACGTCATCCTTGGGGCATTGGTATTATACCTCACCGTTCCGTAGATCACATATTTGTCGTCTCTCGTGGCTACAGCCTCGTACCTGCGAAATACTCGCGCAGCCGCTCTCACGTCACACGCTGACCTTCCACATTGACGTGTGCATCGTGTGCGCAGAATGCGGCATTTTCCCACGCACGACGTACTAACCTGGCCATGTCGTATTTTTTAAACCTAAATGGATCTGCCCTAGTAACTGCCCTGTCGGTAAAGGCGTCTTATGCCAGCCTAAACTTCTGAATTCTGAATCCTTCGCCAGTACAAGCAACCAATCTCATCCTCCAGCTCATTTTCTACCTAAATTTAAAAAAATTAGGGATTCAATCATGAGAAGCCAAAGAATTTGCCGGAACAAGTTGTCTTTCTGCCTGGTTTTTTGGGTACTTTAGTCTGCTACCTATCTGAGAAGGCGCACAAAAAGCACGAGATTATTAAAGGACAACGGGAGTATGTGTTTGTCGTGGTGCCTCTCTGGCTGTACCTGTAACGGTATTCCGAATAACCGATCTGGCCGGTTCAAATTCATCTCATCACGAATGATCTCCTTCCACTGTAGTCAGTCGGCATCAGACCACCGAGCCATCTTGAGATAGTTGGTTCGACGACCTCTGAACCGAAGACTGAATAATCAAAGGTGTTCTCTAGGCCGTCTTTCACCACGTCCCCCTGACGCGGATGCAGACGAGTAGTTTTCCGCAAGATCTCGCCGTCAAGACGAGCAACCCTGTTCCGAACCTTTTCTGTGGGCAAAAAAGCTGGCTGTAGTTCAACTGCTTCTCTTTCTGATAGACTTCACAGTTGCTTACCGGAGACGCGATCCGAGAGACGAATTCAGTGATTGAGAAGTACATACCATCAATCAAATACTTCCAGGTGGCGTATACCTCCCGAGCATAGGGAGTGATAGTCTTGACATTAGCCTCGTATACTCACGGCTTCGTCTTCAGACTGATCACACTCCGACTTCAGAATTCGAAGATCGACCGTACGTATCTGGACGATCTGATGGCTAATCTCCACCCGACCTCGCCAACTATCCAAAAAACGTGCCTGGCTATCGTGACTGGCAAATGTCTCCAACAACAGGGTCAGACGCGGTCGTTTTCATCTTTGATGACATTCGTGCATCCTCTCTACCTGCCTTCACGCTTGCTTAGGATGTCCTATTTCTGCAAAGAGCTCGACAACACCGCAACATCACCAGCGTAGTCATCACCCGTGATGTGTGAAAGACAACGATAGAATACTCGGTGGTCTTTCATCGCGTGCCGAAGGACTAGACTGTCACGGTCCTGACAGGGGCCGGAGGTGGCATTGGAGAAGTCGTTTTCGTCATTCACACGAGATTTGGTCTTTGTTCTGTGCTGGTTGGCTTGAGTCAATCGAAGTACAGAAGACGAAGATGTGATCATTGGACCAAGGAATTTATTTGCCTGACGTTTCGGATTCTCACTCGAATCCATCATCAGAGACAGTCGCAGTGATCACATCTTCGTCCTCTGAACGGTTACCTGGAACTCTCCTGCTCTCTTCTATCAGCAGTCAATCGAAGTAATTGCACTGACATGTCGTCGTGCAGAGTGATCAACTACGGGGAGTCCCCGGTCAGAAGTAGAAGAAAACTTCGGGAAGCGAACAGTAGTGGCCTGCTGGTGATATCGGACATAGGTGGTGTTAAGTAACCGCATCGCCGTGGGCCGAAAGTAGTGTCCCGCTCGAGCGTAGTATGACCGCGGTTATGCTGGCGCTAATCAGTCCTTCTTCGCCACAAACGTTTGTGGGTCCTGCACTATCGTTGTCCGCCATAGTGACTGAGTTATCTCAATCTGCATTTCGTGAAGGTAGATTTGCAAGGCTAGAGGAGATCGACACGCAGACTGTGGAATTTGGCGTTAGAAAAGCATACCTCCAAGGTAGGCATCTTGGTCGTCTATGACGGCCGAAAATAGAACCCCAATGCATATATCCGTAGGCTTACCACGTTTTATCAGGCAGGCACCTAGTTGGGGAAATTTTCTCCGATCTCGAACCATGGATTTCGCTGTTTTAACTTGAGCTGGCAACTGGGATCTACGAGAACCGTCTAAGGTACATCTACATAGGTAGACCTGCCTCGCAGGGCGGCAGCGGAAGCGGAATGGAATGCTGCAATTACTGACATTACTGCGACCGACATTGTTGTCGAGATTTCCCCCCGAATCCCTCTTTGTTTACTCACTACTGTGGGCGATAGAAATTGGCCATTTTCACCTTTGCAGAGGCTGAGTAGATCAAATAATTGCTGTGCAGTGTTCCCTCGAATGAACAAGTGGCTGTTAGCAGGACTTTGCCAGGAGGGTGCTCTCTTAGGAAACGTGACGCCTTAGGAACCCTGCCTGTTGGACCCGCCGTCAGAGCTCACAGCACTTAGCGCCATCTGACCCTTCCCCAAAGGCTAAACTCTCGTTGGAAGACGATCGGTCACCCAAACTGTTTCTCCTTATTCGGTGATTTATCTGGACCCCTCGACAAATTGTTGACCGTAAATAAATGTCCCATTTGTTCGCTGTCCGTTTTCGTCGACGATCGCTGTGTACGCTCTTATTCTGAAGCCCTGCTTATCTTTTATTTCCTCCAGAATCACTCAATTTAAGGTCGAAGGTCTGCCGGTAATTGAGTACTACAGTCAGAAGGGACTTGTCACCCATATCGACGGCAGCAAAACTCCGCAGGAGGTGCGCACATTTTTTTTCTTTACCATTTTTGGTGCAAATAGGTCTTTAGGGAGGTACAGCGCGTTCTGGATCCCATTTTACTGAACAGCAGTTAGAGGCACCGAGCCGTCCCCTTGCCTTGCTCGGCTCCAGTTGCTTGCCCATGTGATCTCGTGCTATTCGTTCATGCAGAATCCCTTTCGCCGCTTGTCCTATTGCAGTCTACTTGGGTATTCAGTGTTTCGATACCTGAACGCGCCCGTTCTCTACCAGCCCTCCGGTCTTTTAGTTTTTTTTTTAACTTAGACTGAAAATATATTTGTGATAATTTTCACTACTTCATTCTCCATCGCCTCTCGGTTTCTATTGCTTGCAAGATTTTCATATCGAATATGAATGTGTAGCTCCCACATCTATCATCTGTTTTTTTATTAGCTGGGTAGTAGTATTAGTAGTAGTAGTAGTAGTAGTAGTAGTAGTAGTAGTAGTAGTAGTAGTAGTAGTAGTAGTAGTAGTGGTAGTAGTAGTAGTAGTAGTAGTAGTAGTAGTAGTAGTAGTAGTAGTAGTAGTAGTAGTAGTAGTAGTAGTAGTAGTAGTAGTAGTAGTAGTTAGTTCATTTCCATGGGAGTCGTAAATTGTCAATGTTAATCTTGCCGGACCGCAAACGGCTTATTAACATTCTACGGTTCGTGCGAGCTTGACCTGACGGTCTCTAATATGATCTGCCCGAGATGACCGGATCCTAACAGGAACTGTGCAGCAGTCTGCCTTTGAATGCTCTTGTTTAAGATAGCTTACAACATTATCTCGGGGACGTGTGACTCGTCTTTGAAGGTAGTTTTTAGATCCCATGGTGTAAACCCTCGTCGGACTAGTAAGGCCACTGGTTATGCCAGAATCAGTTAGGGTGGCCATCACTGTTTGCCAACCTAGAAGGCATAAAAATATGCCGCGCAGTTTTCTTTGTAGTAAATAGTTCATCACGAAACGCAGGGTTATATCTTCGCACACCAGCCAATCACCAGTAAGTTCAACCTGATATGGAACATGACGTATGTAGAGAGAAACGAAGTGCTCGGCGCTGGTAGAACAATGCTTCCACTTCTAAAAACGCCTTCAGAACCGTGACCAAGTTAATAAATTGACTCGGCCACTTAGAATGCGTCATGAACCGAGGTATAACCTGACGCATGTTCTTTTTGTCTGAGTAGGGCCATGGAGTGACAGCTTACGTCCAAATACAGAATCTGAGCCGTTTTACTCTTGCGGATGGAGGAATATGGTTCTTCGCCCTGACGAGTGCATGTTTGACTAGGTTCATCAGAGCGTGTGATGAACTCTCTCATCGCAGTATGTTGGCCAACTTTCGAAAATGCATTTCGCACCAGCAAGCCGGGGCGAGACAGTCGTTTCTTGTCGATCTGACCAATTAATTAAACAAGCAACGAATAGACAAGTCATTTTCGCTAACTCCAGACGTCTGGACTGTCAACATGTCGAATCGGACGCCGACAATGTTGTCATGCAGAAGTTCTTAGGGTCTGAAAGCAAGACAGACCTGATGGAGGTAGAGGCTGAGTTTGAAGAACTAAGTCGCCGGCTAAAGGGCACTGCTGACGTCAGAGAACAATTCCAGCTGGTCGAGAGCGAAATCTCCTGACCGCCTACTAGTATACAGCGTATACAGTCAAGTATCATGGGCTTTTTTGCCTTAGCTTATAGATGTTGCCCTCTCGACTGACAGAAGCATTAACGAACAACCCTAACAAATTCTTCTGCTATACCACTGGAAGAGTGGGAACAGAGTGTTGGAAGATTATACTAAGAAAAAGTTGAATGCATCACTCTGGAGCCGAGTAGTTGACGGTGGCATGACTGCCTTCGCTGCGTAGACTCGCATATCCATACGTACATGGATCTTGTGTCAAGAAGGGGTCGAAAAGTCCGGAAGCGCGACAGGGGCAGGCAGTTGGCGCGGCGGAAGCCAGCACCTTGGCGTACCACCACACTCCCCGGTTCGCAACATACGCCGACCAAGAACTTAAACAAGAAGAATAGGACAGGGCTGGGATCCCACTGGGTGGGAGTGCCATAGAGGCCACATTGAGAGGGAACTATTGCAGCCTGACTCAGTCCACCAGTCGGTCACTCCACACAAGCAACGAAGTCCGAGTTATTCCATCAGCTGGCGGCCTTCTGAGCCAATGCTGTTAGCTCACCATGCTAGAGTCAAGCGTGTCAAATTGTTTGTACTGGGGAATTATGCGCTGAGAGTCGACCTCTGCCCCGTGCACCGGTCGACCATCTTATGCTGAGATTAGGAGAGATGGTCGACAGAGCTGAGAATGGCTGGTCTGTGTGGGCCACAAACACCACCTGCACCCCATATGCGCACGCCAGGATTCCACACCACGGGGTAAACCGGACTCCACAAGTAGCAGGGGAGCAGCGTAGAGAAGAGTCGAAGAGAGGTGAGAGGGGCGATAGTGCGGGATGTCGGAGGTGTTCATGTGTGGTTGATGGGGGACGTTCACGCCCGCGGTGGTTGGTGGATGTGCAAGGTGGGCATAGAATGTCGGCATTGCGGCGAATCTCGTTGTCATGGATACGCATGTGGTCGAACAAGCTCAGGTGGGGTTGTAACGTTGATTGCTGTGCAATATAGCCCTGAGACGCGTTATGTCATACCCCGATGCCTGTTCTTGAATGAGCTTCTCTTAGGCAGCTTGCGAAAGTCACAATCGGCAAAATAACTACTTAGGTAACATTCAGTTTCCAACGGATTCTTGGTGTCCTTACAAATTCAAGTATGTTTGAGAGAAACAGTGTAGAAAATTATTCTTTTCCGCCTTAACAGCATCAGCCTCCCCCGGTTGCGCTGTGACCAGAATGGTCTCTGGCGTGGCAGTCGACACTACGGTCACATTTGGCCACAGCATCCGGAAAAAAGTGCGCATGGGCGTTCATTGATCCTCATTCGCTGCCGTCCCTTACGGCCTCGAGTTTGTACCGGCGAGCACGCTCATTCTAAGTATCGGCTATCGCAGAACCCTTAAATAACTCAGATCGAATGCCTCACTCCTTGACGAAGGTAAACCAGCACAACCTGCCGTACCGCGTGACAGTTCTCTTTCATGGGACATTAAAATGCTTCCGCACCAAGAAACAGGGACGGCTTCCACTGGCAACCGGCGATTCCTGCAAAAAATAAGGTCTGTGGTAGTGCATACTTAATGCAGTTGTCATTTAAGTGACTAATGGTGTCAATAGCAGTCAAAACGCGACTCCCAGGTAGCATGTCAAAAAGGAGAGAGGTTCGTCGGGGGAGTTCTAACTAAGGTATTACGTTTCGGGTAGTGGTTTCGTCTGCTCATCCTCAGGTACTGGAAAGTTATGCACACAGCTCACTTTACCTGACCCTTGTTGACTGACTATGCGGCTGCATCTGACTGTGACTAGTGTTGCCCCTGTCCTCGTCGATCGCGGGGATAATTGGCGGCCCCATTTGCTTCAAGTCGCCACCTTATCCTGTCAGAAAGGTTCGTAAAACCAAAAAGGAGGCAGATAAAGTACGGTAACGGTTGACTAAACAGTCGGTAGACACGCAGACCCAGGCTAATTTGCACCTGCCTTGAGGCTGCAGGCCGAGGCGGCGATTACACGTCAAGGGAGGTGCAAAAGAGCCTCTGACTGGGTGTTTACCGACTGCTCAGTCAACCGCCACAGTAACCTGCCCGAACTCTACTTGGTTTTACGAATCCTCTTAACAGGAGACAGTGACGGCGCGAAGAAATTGAGGCCGCCAGTTACCAGGAGGGCGGGGCGACACTATACTGCTAAGTTGGTAGAAAATTGCGTTTTTTAAAAATTCTTTACTTTAGGGAGTGGTACTTTTCGTTTTAAAAGTCTGCAATCGTGAGATTTTTAGGACCGTAAAATGTCCATTCATGTAGCATTGTATCTGTCCGTTCATTAACGTTATTTATGAAATAAGCTACAGAGTCCGCATTCATTTCAAACTTTTATGTGCAGTATATTACGTCCTCTTAATAGCATAGATAAATTCATGGTCTTCCCTACACGAAAAGCATGCAGCATGTAGCCTAGAGATCCTAAACGGAAGCGCAAACGCAACTGCAAATCGGCTTCAAAATATTTCGGGGACTGATTAAGTTTTTATAACTTTAAGACATTTTTTCTTCAGGTGCGACATTTGAAAGAGACGTAGGTTGCTACCAGCTGAATATAAGAATATTTTGAGCATATCTTTCTCGAATATACATCCAGACTTATAAGGGTATCGAAGATAAATAAAAAGAATTCATATGCACCGCCATTTTACTGAATTTTTTTGCAGGCGACCGGAAAGAAGCACTGTGACGTGACTGAACCAGGTTGAAGTCATGTTGCACGATAATCAGCATTGCAACCCCACCTACGTAATTATTTCTACTCGTAAAGTCATTTCAGGATGGCCACTAACATTTCACGAGATATAGATATGCTTTCGTACATTTTTTCGCACTTCTCAAACGGTACTTCTAGAATGATTTCTTACGTGTGAGAATTCGTCATAAAACTGAGTCAAGCACAATTTTTTCACCAACACAGTTCAACTGGTGTAACCAGCCCGGGAATGCTACACATATAATCAATTCTAATTCTGATCAGCGAGAAGAAAGACAGTGCTCTAAGGGGAGGCTGAAGATTATTTATCGCGAGGGGAGTATATATTTAGCATTCTAGGCGGGCAGAAATACGAGGATGTCTTATGGCCAGACAGGCTGGTTTGGAGGCGGGCCTTGGTTTGTCCGGGCAGTGGAGAGGCAATGCAGGAGCGGTGGTGGCGTCCAGAAGGCGTCCTCCGGTCCCAGTTGGTCAACGTCAATAATCCTTCGTCTCTCGAAGCCAAACAAGCTGACGGCTGACGATGACTACGACCTCGGGGAGGATCGAATGAAAATCTATCTCGAATCCATTGACGAAGGCAGCTGGGCGGCCGCCATTCTAGGTTGGCTAGACGAGGTACACTCCGCTTCCATGGCAGCCAGTGTCATGTCCACGCGACAGTATCTGAGCGTCTGCGGCGGAAGTTTGGTTGTTCTCCAATGCCATGGGTTGCTCGCGCAACCCTGAAGGAACGCCGCCAGCGCCCCGGTGATTCGGTCGTTGACCTCCTGCAACACTTGCATTTCCTGGCTAATCAAGTGTTTTCAATGGACAACTGCGCGACTCTCGAGGACCGGATTCTAGAACGCTTCATGGATGACATCGTCAACCCTGAGATCCGGCGACAATTCATTCGTGCTTCTCTTTAAGCCCTCAAAGCGGCACTCGCTATCGCTCACGATGAAGAGGCAATCCAAGCGGGGTTTCCTGCGACACCTGGACCTACCTTCTCAGCGATCCTCGCTCGCCAGCTGCCGACAGATGGTCGGCGCCTTCGCCTTGGGACAACGACCGACCTGCGACGTTGGCACCCAAACGGCTAGATAACAGCTGGGCCCTCCACAGCCTCCCACCCCTCAGTATGGCTCTCCGCACATACGGTCACTACGGGTGTGGAAGAATAAACAGGCGGCTCCATGAGAACCGACGACGCGTTCTCGGATATAGAGGAAAAGTAGACACCAAACTCAACTTGCAACGGATAAATGGCGACGGCCCGACTACATACTGACTACATTCCTGTCCTATAAAGTCACCATCCTTCCTCTCCTTCTCACCTTTCTCAAGGTAAACAACTTTTGCTACATGTGTTCCCACGGTCGTACAACGCTCACAGGCGTCACATGCATTGACGTTATTAATCCGTTTAACAAAGGCTCGCGCGGGTGTATCACAAATAACACTAGCTGTACGGACTCTCATCCTGCCTGGATAGCAGTCTTTCCTCTTGAAGGACAATTATTTCGTCTATCAGGTCGTTACAGAACATCTATACGTTTGGCGGCTTGCCGTTCCCACAGTACGCGGAAATGGAAAACACGTTACTAACAACCGGCTCCACTATACGACCTAGTTTAGCCCTCGTCTTGCGGTAGAGGCAAACCATCTATAACTAGGTTCAAAACTATCTCTCCATTGTCTGCGACTACGAATTCGCCGTCCACCAGTCTGCGCAGATGCTTCTGCAGTCCAACATGGACGTACTCCCCACGAACCATGGGGG